GACGGACGGACAGACAGACATGGCTTAATCGATTTCTTTTTTCATCCTGATCATTTATGTATACATTTGTCTATATCTATCTCGATTCGTTTTGGCTGTTACAAACAACCGTTATGTGACAAAATTAATATACCCTTGTGCACAAGTGCGCTCGGGTATAAAAAGGCGGATCCAATATGGTGGCCAAATTTTATAATTTTCAATATAATAGCTTATTTTCTTCACTAATAAGCAGTGAAGAAAAAACAGTTGTTTTAGTTGCACTAATCACCAATTAGGTCAAAGAAGCCCATAAAAAAATAAACCATGAAAATTGGCCAAAAAATAAGATATTATAATTGAAAATTTTAAAATTTGGTCACCATATTGGCGATGTCAGATTTTTTAAATTCAAAATTCGGGTGCAATGAGGGATTAGTGGATTCGGAGCGAAAAAATTTAAGTTCAAAATAGTAGTACAGTAAAACCCGCTTAAGTATCTCACAAATAATTTCAGCTTTTTGAGGTACTTAGGCGGGTTGGGTACTTTAAAGAACCCGCTTAAATACCTCGATGTGGGTACTTAAGAGAAAAACATTCAAAAATTAACATTGCCCAAAAATGTTGGTTGCTTAAGTGGGTTAGGTATTTAAGCGGGGTGTACTTAAGCGGGTTTCACTGTAGAATATTTGAAGTATGCAAAAATATATAAATTAGAAGTGCTGATATCAAAGACACATTTAAATATTACAGTAAATAAAGGGATTGGTGTAGGATTTATGCGCTCAACATAATATTATTTAGGGAGTTCATAAGGTGCTGTAAGCTGTCGTATAGTTGTATGTCGTTAACTTTAAATGGTTCAAAATATGTGAAGAATACCATAAAAATAAAATTATGAATTTTCACAGTATTAAAAGATAGTAGATTGTAGTTTCAAGTCCTCTAGACATTTATGTAAGCTTTCAAAGTTTACGCCATACAACATTGCGACAGTATACAACACCTTGTGAACTCCCTAAATGATTTAAAGGGAATCAAAAACCTTAATAACTGCTGGAGTCAATCGCTACTATTGAAACAGTACTGCACCGACTTCTAGGTAAGTAGCTACTCTATTAACCCGTGGTAGTGCACCCGTTAGTGCAGAGTCGAACCAGTCGGAAGAAGAATAGAGAAGAACTACGAAAGAGGGCGCCCATAAATCACGCAAGTGACTACTTGAGTAACTCCCGGTAGTGCAGAGAGAGAGTTCGATGGTGACTACCGCCTAGAACATTGCCTTGTAATTGACGGTGTTTACTTGGTAGCTACCGATTCATCAGTCCTTTAGTCGCTCCCCCGTACTCTCGAGGGTATGCTTGTATGTATGTATGTACGAGATGCTTTAAAATACAAAACTCGTACCCACAATGTATGGACGGAAGATTATCACTTTAATAAGCAAAAAAAAAAAACTAAAAATAAAAATTATATAAACATCGATTCTTAAATTTCATTTCAACGCCACTTCCGTTGAATTTTTAAATGTGCACTGAAGTTAGAGATGCTTGCTTCCAGCGGCATTATCAGCTGCGATAAGCTTTTCCAGCTTAGAACAGTCGCACCAACATGTAGGCTAACAAACCCAAAATGGGCGTGACAGTTGTGCCAACGGCGGAGTTGAGCGCCATACACACTTTGGGCTGCGGTTGTTGAATGTACTTGCAGGCAACGCTCAGGAAATTGGACATGGCGCGATCGTTCTCCTTGGCATCAAATTGCTGTGGAAATCAAGTGAAACATATTAGTTACCAAGTCTACTTCGTTGGCCATTTGNACATGGCGCGATCGTTCTCCTTGGCATCAAATTGCTGTGGAAATCAAGTGGAACATATTAGTTACCAAGTCTACTTCGTTGCCCATTTCAATAACACTTGCCTGTTTGAAAACAATTGTTGGCACGCTGGTCAATGGATTTTGGAATTGATTTGTGGCCTCGCCCTGTTTCTTCAGCAAATGGCTGCCTTCAGTTGAGTTGGCACATGTCTGAATATTTTCCCAGCCGCTAATATGATTGTCACGTGCACTTGAATGTGAGAACATGAGAAAAACAGACGTTAAACAAAGGTGTAAATGGAGAAAAATACATATACATAGAGTATTACAACATATTAACATAAAACATGCACGAATGTATGTATGTACAAGAGACCATACCAGAAAAAATAGTTCGTCGTAGACCTTCGAATCTGTAGTTTTTGTAGTAAGGCTGTTTCGAAAACTTTTTTTTTTTGGCTTAACATACAGGTGACCTTTTAACAGTTTTCTTCGCATCTTCGGCGTTACAGTCGGGTCTAAAAATCACAAACTTTTGCCACGGAAGTGTTTTTATTCGAAGGTAATTTAGATTGCAGTATGTACCATCCTAATGACAGTAAATTAAAGCTCACCAAAAATAAGTAGAACTATTTTTTTATTACCACATGTAGGTGCCACCGAAATATGTAGATTTTTCCCCAAATTGCCTTGCAAAAATACTTTAGACTCAGAGCTGTAAGGCGAATTTTTTGTTTGATTGTAAGGAGGTGCGGTCTAATGTACATTAAATATGTTTGAATATATGTATGAACGATGGTACAAATTTGGCATAAACCCGTAATCACAACACATCGCTGTGAAATACTGTTGGTCACTTACCAGCGTCCACCTGGATAAACGTTGTCATCAAAGTTCTTGCCCGCCTTCATCATGCAGTTGATGAAGTCCAACGTTAGTGATTCTCTAGTGAATTCAATTTGATAGGAGTTGGCCTGTATATGTTCGATGGCACAGGCATGCACTTTGTTGCCGTAGCATTCATTTGGACCGTGATGACAATCGAAGAGCACATCAGCACCTTGCGTTGTAAACTGCATAAGCATACCAACAAAAAACACACATCAGTCGCATATGTAAATATATGTGTATGTACATTAGGGTGGTCCAAAAATGCATGAGCAAAAGTAGATTCGGAAATTTTATGCTAGGATTGTTATATACCGAAAAAATATTTCCCTGTTTTTAAATTTTCCATGTACATATTTTATATAGGAAAATTGTTTTTTAACTATTTTTTTCATAGTAACTATAATTTATACGTCCGCCAAAAACCCCAAAAAATGCAATGGGCGCACCAATAAAAAATCGTTATTATTAAAAAATGGTTAAATAAACAATATGGTATTATTATTGGAAGTCTCCTGGAGAGAACCAGAGTTTTCCCACTTTGAGCGATGTATTATTTTTCGGCAGCTTTACTTTATTTCGGCCGCCCCAATGTACATACATAAAAATTTATGTGTGTATGTATGTACGTTTCATGAAAGTGAAAATAGTGTGATACATACGTGTGACTTGCCAAAAGGCACCCATGTGATGTCTATGTAGTCTTTCAGTTCACCCTTAACGGCTGGATAGACTTGCTCGGTAATGAACTTAGCGCTGTCCGGGCAGAGTGATTCATAATAGATGGTTATAGGCACCTGTAAGGAAAAAGTGTAAATTAAAAAGTAAATAATGAAAACATACGTAAGTACATGTAAATTGCACATAAAAATATGTATACTATTATGTATTGAATTGGGCCGGTCGCCATACGAAACATAAAATTTTTAAACCCTCCCTTGATTGAAAATTCCCTTCGAGGGGACTTCGGCATGATATAAAATTACTAATTTCTTCACCACATTTTTTAAATACGATCTTAAAGGGTTATAAAGAACTCAAATACATCGACATGCATTAAGCATTCTTCGTCAGCTGAAGAACCCTCTCTTCAAAATTGGTTCAGGTAGAAAAAGCTGTTGTAATCTTGTAAATTCGGTAAAAATTTTTACTTTTAAATACTGGGCGTTTTTAAGGTCGCTAATTACGAACATAATCATGATTTTTTTAAATTTCAAATGGCGAATCCAATATAGCGAATTCAATAATTTTTTTCCCGTCATATTGGAAACGCTATTTCGAATTTTAGAAATTTTTGCGGTAAAAAATTTTCCGTCGTATTGGATTTTAAAGAACAATTAACCTATTTTAAAAGCTTCTTAAAATTTCACCATTTAGAGGCCATGGAAAAAAAGAAGGAGCTTTGAATAGAGATTTTTGCGCAAGAAGAAGACTACGTTGAAATATTGAAATTAATTTACAAAATGTTAGATGCTTATTAGCGTGGACCGAAAATCCGCCTTTTTAGAATTTTGATTGGTTATAGCAAAAATATGTTTCATTATGCTCTAAAAACAATCTGTGTGAGAGATGAACATTTTTGGTCAAAAAATAAAAATAAATTAATAATTTCTTTTTTACTCAAATTGCAATTATCTTCGAAAGTATTAGTTGGTATATGGACCTTTTTTTTACAGAGAATCGAAGTAAGCTAAGAAAAACTTTTTTTACCACCTGAGCTTTGATGGACTTGGGCGAGCCTAAGGTATTGGCCAAAGTTTTAATCATAGACACAGATTTTATTTTAGAGCATAATTAACCAAATTGTTGCTATTACCAAATAAAACTCTAAAAAAAACGGATTTTCGGCCCACGATAATGCTTATGTCATCTATTCCTTACACTATCCCTTAAATGAGCTCTAGATTTTTTCGGCCCCGCTCGATTTGTTGTGTCGATGGCGATGGAAAGAATTTATTTGCTTTTGAATATACATTTCATTATTTCCCATTGACATTTGTTTTGAATACCAGTAAACATACCATTCATTTAAATGAAAGGTATGCAAACCAGCACAGCGTAAAATGTGCGTAATCTACCGAAACAGGAAGTCGCTGATTGTTAAAAGATACGCCGCGATAGAAAGGCAAATAACTATATACGTATCTACTACAATTTTATTTTTACATATTTAATATGCTTTGATGCGCAAACAAATTCAATTTAGTTTGCATTAGTTTTAATGAAATTATTAAACTCTACTTTGCAACGCATACATAGGTAAATGGAACTAAAATTGCATTGAATAACAAAGTGGTTTAAAGATAAGATTCTTCTAATTGAGTTGCATGCAAATTTATTATTCGATGACTTAGCAAGCAATTCCCAATACATACATATATGTGTTGGTGTTGGTTGATTTTTCCGTTCCAAAATAAATCACATACATATATCTTTAAGATTAAGACCGTCAAACCAGCATATCTTGGAGAAGACATTAATTTGTTCCCATCAGAAGTCCGCCATAGCGAAAGCTTATCAACTATTGGTGGGATTTTCGATCTAAACAGATTTTTGCGAGACTAGTGAAACGCAGTGGACATAGCTGCAGGCTTTTCAAAATGTTAATCTCCGTACACAACGGAATGCCTTATGATGTCGCCTGAGCACTTTTTTTAAATTCTTAGAACAACTTTATGTATGCAGTTTTATAACCAAAGCAAGGCATGTTGAATAGGTAGTAACATTAGATCAGATGATGTTTTTTTTTAGTTATTTGGTCTCTAAAGTATGAAATATCGTCCATTATTTGTCACAAAAATTTTAAACGGCCAAAATGTATTTTCGTGCAATTTTCATAAAAAGAAGCATCAACCATCTTTTGATATTTTGCTAAAATGTTTATAAATATTTTCTATTTGATGTTTTTCTTTGTTATTTAACATGCCACACCTCTGAGACCACTTAGAGATCGCGTTAATTTTCATTTTTATTATGAAATTTTTTATATTGCAAGTTCTTTTATTTAATTTTTTCGTTTTATTACCTGGAACAAGAGAATCGATTTTCTTCCAAATTGCTACTTTCTCCGTACTTTGCACTTAAAAATTTAATATAAGCAAATACAAAATCAAAAAATCGGGGCCCAAAAATTTTTTCTAAATCTGTTCAGCTTACATAATTGTAGGCTTTTGACCCTTTTAAAGCGTGATTTCTTGATTTGCACCACTGTCCGAGCAAGCGCACAGAGCTCTCCAGAGGCAAAGTCTATTTCTCTCGGTAAGCTGGAGTGTTCGTCAAAAATTAAAGCTTGCAGCCCAACAACACGTCCAAGGGGTAAAAGGAGACTCTAATGGGGGATCCCGGAAATCTCCTCCTTGAGACGAACCTGCAGGAAGCTATTTAATCTAGCAAATACGGAGTCTGGAACTCTAGTTGCCCCAAGCTATATCCAAAAGCATGATGGTGAATGAACCTCCTCTTGCAGCGAAATGCTAGATGTTCTCATGGGCACCCACTTCCCGGGGTATACTTTACAGTGCAGTAACACTTCCTCAAAAGTAGTTGCCGAATGCAGAAGTAACGATAAGAAACAAGCTTGCCCCTTAATCACCATTAAAGTGGTTTGGGTACCCGGGCATAGTGGAATACTGGGAAACTGCGCGGCATACGAGCTTGCGGGGGGCAGGGGGGCACATAAACCACGCTCAGTAAACTCTGCGCTCGACGCAGGCGTTCCCTGTCTTCGAGTAAGCATCGACTGAAATGCATTCATTGAATTGACCAACAAACGAGTTACCCTGCTAACAATTTCTGCCGTGCTTGTAGACACGAGGAGAAGGTGGAGAATGTAGAACATTATCTCTGCCACTTTTCCGATCTGGAAAGGCCAAGACTTGCTATTTTTAATGAAATAGCCTTTCGGTGTTTAGCTGATCTCGACTTTGTGGACATCCGCGACCTTCAACGATACATTGAGGTTGCACGATGGTTCTATCATTTGGTAAACTAAGGGAAAGGAATAAGAGCTCGTTTATAGTGGCATCAAAATGGGTCTAACTGGCCTAAGTGTGTCTCTCTGCCGGTATGTGCAGAGTGGCAACCACCGTAACCTAACCTAACCTAACCTACATAACTACATAAGTATGTACACTAGACCGTACAGTAGATGCAGGCCTTTTAATACCTTTATTACAACAGTATACCATTTATAGAAATCGGATATCAAATAAATAAGTTATAATTATACAATTTTATACTCCTGAAATACTCTGTTAGTGAGTGTTCACATTGAGCTTTTTTTGGTGATACGGTCTAATGTACATATCTCGATTTGCTAAATATGATTATGATGTCAGTTGTTTTTGCAGGTAACATTACAATTTAGATAATTTGTATTCAAACTATATTTAAGCGGAGAAAAGAGGTAAAGACTTAAGTGTTACTGGATATTCCCAAAACCGGTTCTTTTTTAGAAACATTAAACGAATAAAGAGTGAAAAAATGTTGGTAAGTAAAATGTGTGTATGTATGTAGGTATGGTGTGACCTGAATTTGCGTACATAAGTAACGACATACATATGTATATACAGTATATTCCGTATAGCTGCCTATTCGCTCAGGTGAATTTTCTGCTTACCAAAATACTGCTTCTTGAAATGGATTTTGTACGAAATTTTCACTTTTAGCAGCAATTCCGCTTTGCAATCCTTTTCTGTTTAGCATCCCTGTTTTTGAGTAAGTTTTTTTTTATTTGATTTGTAGGAAAAATATTTCGCTTACCAGCACTAAATTTTTTTCAAAAGATTTGCTAACAACAAATCCCTCTGTTTGCGAACCTGTGCCATGTCTGAAATCAGTAGTGGCAATGAAGACCCAGAAAAAGTAATAATGCCTCTATAGTGACTACTGTTACATTAAGTACTTTTAAAAAAGATTTCATGAAAAACAGTATTGAAACAAATTTTAAAATCTAAAACAAGACAAACAAAAACAAAACAGTTTTTGTTTTTCCGCTTTGCTGTACATTTCCCTAAACAGCTAAACGGAATATACTGTACATACAAATATGTTTGCATAACTATAACCATAAATACATAAGTACATTCATACATACATACAGTGGCTTAAACAAGTGACCATGTGCCCTTTTTTATGAATATTCAAAATGTTTTTCAAGCTATTTTTTTGTTAATTTTCTATAAAAA